TTGCACAATAGCAAGAAATATTCAATTGCACAGTATTGTGCAAAAGAAGATACTTCGTATAAATTGCTTATTTCTTGATCAATTTCAATGGGGTTTTATTCTTGAATTCTTGGGGTTCTTTAATATGCTGAATCTAACCGTGTATTAAGTTTTTGGATTTTGGGCCCCGTTTTTAAATTGGTCCACATTGAGGTCCAAAGGGTCCAAAATTTAACTTTGTTTGATTTCATCAAAAATTGAATTATTGGGGTTCTTTGATATGCCGAATCTAACCGTGTATTTAGATTCTTAATTTTTGGTTCCGTTTTCAAATTGGTCTACATTAAGGTCAAAAGGGTCCAAAATTAAACTTAGTTTGATTTTAACAAAAATTGAATTTTTAGGGTACTTTGATATGCTGAATCTAAACATGTATTTAGATTTTTGATTATGGGCCCAGTTTTCAAGTTGGTCCAAATCGGGGTCCAAAATTAAACTTTGTTTGATTTCAACAAAAATTGAATATATGGGGTTTTTTGATATGCTGAATCTAACCATGTATTTAGATTTTTGATTTTTGGGCCCCGTTATCAACTTTGTCCACATTGAGGTCAAAAGGGTCCAAAATTAAACTTTGTTTGATTTCATCAAAAATTGAATTCTTGGGGTTCTTTGATATGCTGAATCTAAACATGTGTTTAGATTTTTGATTATGGGCCCAGTTTTCAAGTTGGTCCAAGTTGGGGTCCAAAATTAAACTTTGTTTGATTTCAACAAAAATTGAATATATGGGGTTCTTTGATATGCTGAATCTAAACATGTATTTAGATTTTAGATTTTTGGCCCAGTTTTCAAGTTGGTCCAAATTGGGGTCCAAAATTAAACTTTGTTTGATTTCAACAAAAATTGAATATATGGGGTTCTTTGATATGCTGAATCTTACCATGTATTTAGATTTTTTATTTGTGGGCCCGCTATCAAATTGGTTCATATTGAGGTCAAAAGGGTCCAAAGTTAAACTTTGTTTGATTTCATCAAAAATTTAATTATTGGGGTTCTTTGATATGCCAAATCTAACCGTGTATTTAGATTTTTAATTTTGGGTCCCGTTTTTTAAATTGGTCTACATTAAGGTCCAAAGGGTCCAAAATTAAACTTAGTTTGATTTAACAAAAATTGAATTTTTGGGGTTCTTTGATATGCTGAATCTAAACATGTGTTTAGATTTTTGATTATGGGACCAGTTTTCAAGTTGGTCCAAGTTGGGGTCCAAAATTAAACTTTGTTTGATTTCAACAAAAATTGAATATATGGGGTTCTTTGATATGCTGAATCTAAACATGTATTTAGATTTTAGATTTTTGGCCCAGTTTTCAAGTTGGTACAAATTTGGGTCCAAAATTAAACTTTGTTTGATTTCAACAAAAATTGAATATATGGGGTTCTTTGATATGCTGAATCTTACCATGTATTTAGATTTTTTATTTTGTGGGCCTGCTATCAAATTGGTTCATATTGAGGTCAAAAGGGTCCAAAATTAAACTTTGTTTGATTTCATCAAAAATTGAATTATTGGGGTTCTTTGATATGCCAAATCTAACCGTGTTTTTAGATTTTTAATTTTGGGTCCCGTTTTTTAAATTGGTCTACATTAAGGTCCAAAGGGTCCAAAATTAAACTTAGTTTGATTTTTAACAAAAATTGAATTCTTGGGGTACTTTGATATGCTGAATCTAAACATGTGTTTAGATTTTTGATTATGGGACCAGTTTTCAAGTTTGTCCAAGTTGGGGTCCAAAATTAAACTTTGTTTGATTTCAACAAAAATTGAATATATGGGGTTCTTTGATATGCTGAATCTAACCATGTATTTTGATTTTGGACATTGGACCATAATAGGTAAATTAAAAAATTTGAGTTCTTAGACCACATTCTTTCTGTGTCAGAAACCTATGCTGTGTCAAATATTTAATCACAATCCAAATTCAGAGCTGTATCAAGCTTGAATGTTGTGTCCATACTTGCCCCAACTGTTCAGGGTTCGACCTCTGCGGTCGTATCAAGCTGCGCCCAGCGAAGCATTTTATTGCTTATCGCTGAAGGCCGTTCTGTAACATATAGGTGCTTACTTCCACGTCATTTGGACTCTGGTGGATAGTTGTCTCATTGGCAATGATATCACATGTCCTTATTTTTAAAAATAATTAAATAATGTAATAGATATTGGGATAACTATATGAAATTTTAACAGTCGGGTTCATTAATCAGACTCGTCGTCTTTTAATTCAGTGATCTATACTAAAAAGCTTCCTTATAACAGCGCTTACAAACGCTTTTACCAGTGACTGTTGAATTGTACTATCAGCTTTTTCTTGTTTTTGTCATTGCATGTATAACTACGGAGTTCATATAAAAAGAAGAAGATGTGGTATGATTGCCATTAGACAACTCTACCACCAGAGACAAAATAGCGTAGAAATTAACAACTATAGGTCACCGTACGGCCTTCAACAATGAGCAAAACCCAAACCGCATAGCAAGCTGTATGTTTATTTCAGCCTATCATATCCTGTGTCTAAAATGAAGAATCTTATAAATTAATTATATTTCTTTTTTATCCGCGGCACAGTTTTTTTTCTCAATTTTTGAAATTTCATCTTAAGTGAACTAGTAGCACTGCATGTTAAATAAAAATAAAAACGATTGTATAAAAAGAAAAATGAAAACATGCATCGACAAGACATGGAAGATATTGACATATTGTGTATATAATGTATAGGAATGTGAATAAAAAGAGATACGGTGGCCTATAATTGCTTACATCAACTTCATTTGAGCTCTGGTTTATAGTTGTCTCACTGTTGTCATACCACATCATCCCCTTTTATATGAGGTATACATCATTCAGTCAAAAACTTTAAGACACAACTTAAAGCAAAAAGACATTTTGAGGTAAACAGCCGGTTTTCGTCAATATGTAAAATGCAAGTCTCTTTAGACACGGATACTTTAAACATGGAGAGCTATATTTATAACATTCGTAATAAGTATTTTATTTGCATGCATGTGACATGCATTTGTAAGTACATGGTACTATTCAACAAATGTCAAGAATAACATCAAACAGTGTTATAATACATGTATTAGATTGCACAATGTAATTCTAGTCAAGAAAGACTGAATTACCAAATTTAAAAAATTGCAAAGTTAAATCTATTGATAAAACTTCAAAGCTAAATGTGAAATTTGATAGGTGTCATTTTAGGTAAGTAAAGTGGGATCTTTTTGACCTTTGTTATATATAATTGACTCTTTGACTTAATGCACAAATGTTATTTTTATTGACCCGATTCTTTGCTTTTTAAGTTCGTTTTTAATTATTTGAGATTGGTATAGTCGGTACCAGTTAGACCCTTTGGAATCATTTAAACTGCATGAGTGCAATATACGTCTCTTTACTATTACGAATAAAAGGTGCATGTTATTTTTTTTGTATCATGAAAGCCATGATTATACTTAGGTTTTTATTAAAACATGGTTATTGAATTTGAGCCACACCAATAGAAATGTAAGATGTGGTCCTATTCCTGCTTGCAAGTCGGCGTTTAATAAGGTTAATAGAAAAACGAGAAAATATCCATTTACACCCTGAGAAATTCCGCACATTAAATTTTGGAGGAATCTTCAATAATGTTTTTTACGAAATCGGTGTGATTGCTGACACGATTTTTTTTTAAATACAAAAAGTTAAAGCACACTTATACACAAATCAAAAAGAAAAATAAAGAGAAGAAAATATATCTTTTTAAAGGTTTGTTTTTCCATCTGTATGTCCGTACATTCAATCAATGATTTAAGTAAAGGTATAATTTGAGATAATTATTTTTCGATCCTTTGATCTTTGATTTGTTGATAGTGGAAAAATTAAAAAGAACTTTAGTGTTGAAAATTAGAGGCCATCATAAAGAAAGGTTAATAATATTTTCGTACCTCTCGACCTTTAGTTACCATTGTTGTTGCCATCATATTTTTAACTTTATTGTGTACATGTGCTAGCTCCAGATGTGAAGTTTGGGAGCCATTTTGACCAAAATTATAAGATTATGAAAATTTTTAACTTGCAACCATAAACAAATATTTGTAACTTTAACTCTTCTGTCTTTATTTTGTTTTGTTTTTTGTTAAAACAAAAATGGAGGAAGCTGACAAAAGGAGCTCCTGGTTGACTTTCATTATTTTATATTTCTAATTTCTTTATCGTTCTATATCTCCTTTCCCCCACAAAAGGAGTGCTATAGTATATTTTTCAAAGAATTAGGTAACCTCTGAAATAATAAACTAACAAAGAAACAGTTCTGATTCGCAGCAGTATAAACCAATACATGTTAGAAGCAGATATTTCATTATTTTTGTGAAATACATAGTTTATATGAATGTCTTAAAAACTTGAGGTCTCTCTATCCTAATTTATTTCTACATAAACGTAAGTAGAACGCTAAAACTGTATACCTTCTTCTTAACATTGATCTTTATCATAGCAAATCAGTACTTCTTGTCTTTTGATTTATGATTTTAACATGTTTCGACAGGACTTTCTGAGAAAGGCTATGCTAAACTATTAAAGATAGACTGATTGTTGCTTGTGTTACGTCCAGTGGCAAATATAGATTTCTGAAACGGACACAGATATTGCTACAAGAAAGTTCGGATTAAGACGTTGATAAATCTCGTTTTATCTTAAACTTTCTCCTTTATGTTAAGAATTCTTCAATGTTCACATACATCCTATGACTACTTTAAAATTTAATTTAAAAACTTTATTTCAATCAGGAGTTTCCTCCCATTGATTGCTTTAAAGTTGAAATAATTGTTAATGGGGAGTTCACGGATATATTAAATTTGTTAAAACAATTGGATTAATTAGGTAAAAAAAATAAGAGTGAACTCAAAAACACTGCAGAAGTAATGCTAATGTTTGAACTATCAAAATATTAATTTAAATTCAATTTCTTTATCTTCAGGACCAAACTCAAACCAGAGAAGAAGAGGCAGACAAACATATACAAGGTTTCAAACTTTAGAACTAGAAAAAGAATTCAAATTCAATAGGTACCTCACGAGACGAAGACGAATAGAACTTTCTCATATGTTGTGTTTGACTGAACGACAAATAAAAATTTGGTTTCAAAATAGAAGAATGAAAGAAAAGAAAGAACTACAAGCAATAAAAGAAATAAACGAACAGAATAAATCTCCTGAAAAAGTTAAACCGGTATCTCCTGTGTCATCAGGCGATGTATCAAGCTGAGAAATTATGTGTTCTTAGGTTCCTACCTCCACGGACTGAAGAGCTCATTCCCGAACATCCGGTGTTTCCTACACGAGAAGACTGAAACGAGAACTTTTACTTAAATTATACGTTTATCAGTAGAAAAATTAGAATTATTATTTCACATTATAGGATGACGGATACGGGAGCCTGACATTTGGTACTGCCCTTATAAACGAGAATGGACTGCCTATTAACGAGAATTTACGTGAATACGAAAGCGTTTCCAAATGGCCTGCCATTTAAAATGGCGGATGCAAGAAGAGTGGAGATATCATTTACTTTTACAAACCTTTTCATTTATCATCGCTATCGACGCAAATGTTCATCGTCATAAATGTTTATAGTGCTATTATGTGTATATTTTTATGTATGTACTATAACATGTTGAATTTATATATAGAAAGATACTGCTCAAAATAATGTACTTCATATGTGAAACTTTCATGTATGTTTTGTAATCCGAATTCAAAGTTCGAAAAATAATTTGATACAACTGAATTTTCTTGCCGCAAACAATAGTGCAATATAGGAGAAAAATACGTTTACATGCTTTTTAAATAGTAAAATTACTTTTCGAACAAAAAAAATCCGAATGTTTGAGAGAAAATTCAGATTAAAAATATTGCAGTTGTCAGAAAAACTTTCTGCAATAGAGTTTGGAATACTGCATTGTCCATTTTCCACGGTTGTAATTTTATTTTCATAAAATATATTATTCAAATTCAAAATTTAAAGGACCCAAATTTGCTTCAATATAAGAAGAGTACAGAGGGAATTTTAACACAATTAGAAAAAAACAAATGTCATGTGTTTCATTTTTAAAAGATGAAAACCTTTTCATTCAATTTTCTTTTGCGTTAAATTTTCTTTATTTGTTAGATGTAGCTTAATTAGGATACAGTACTTAATTTTGTTTTAAAAATGTATGCCAATTCCGAAAACCTAACTGCAGAGAATAAGGATCATTGGGTTTCTTACAAGTTTCAGATATCATTTTTACATGTTTAATCAGTTAATTCCAGATAATCTACTAAAATTTGCTTATTTATTAATAAAAAAAAGGTATTCATTGTTTAAACTTAAAACTTTGGCCTTTGTTAGTCTTGTATCATTTTTAATTTTAGTTTCTTGTGTATAATTTGGAGTTTAGTATGACGTCCATTATCACTAAACTAGTATACATATTTGTTTAGGGGCCAGCTGAAGGACGCCTCCGGGTGCGGGAGTTTCTCGCTGCATTGAAGACCCATTGGTGGCCTTCGGCTGTTGTCTGCTCTATGGTCGAGTTGTCTCTTTGACACATTCCCCATTTCCATTCTCAATTTTATTAAAATACACCTTGGAATGGCAACATAACATTCAGTAATAATTGGTTGCAGGTAACCAATAAAATTAACCACTAATGTATTAGATAGAATATACCGTTTTGTGTGGTCCTCACAGTTACCATATATGTTGCTGTATCGACCTAAGTTATGACAATTTTGAATCAATGACATTAATAAACCTATAACAATGAACGATGATACTTTAATTTCATTGCTTCATTTCTATACTTGTGAATTTTTCTATACAACTTATTCTTACAATGACTGATGTTGTTGCAGGAAAAATGATGGGCGGTAAATGATAAACTTTAACAATTGAAAATAATTAGGTTTGCAGAATTGGCATAGTAACAGTTACAAAAATATGTAGATCACTGATAAATAATTATAACGAAGCTTTGTAGTTCATTTAATTTGTCACACCAGTCAAGATGACTGATTATTTCCTCAGGTTTTAATTTTGCGTTTTTTACATTTGATTTTATATATATATGTGTATTTTTTCATCATTATTAGGTGCTACAACGTAGATCGAAACTGCCTTACAACATCTTTTAATTTGCTCTGGTGTCGTTTCATTTAATAGACATTCAAACCCGACCAGTCACATATTCAGTTAGAAAAAAAAAGTCATGTGTTTCATTTTTAAAAGATGTAAACCTTTTCATTTAATTTTCTTTTGCATATTCATTAATTTTCAAAATTCACAACCCTCAACAAACATCCAATATGCCTGTTTCATTTCATTTAGTACATTAATCTATAAAAGTAAAAACTACACACGAGGATATCTTAATAGAAACTGTCGCGCAGCTAACATATTTTATTGTTGAGTATATATTATTTTACAGATAGCAAATCAATCCAATAGCATTCTATGTTTAAAAAAAATGAACTGAATTCTTCAATGTGCGTTAAATCAGATAATACCTGGAAACAAATACCCACAATTCAAATGTCTAATTTTGTAATTCATTTGACCATATCAACTTTTTTTTATTCGAGCGTCGATGATGAATCGTTTATAGACGAAACGCGTGTCTGGCGTACACAATTTTAAGCCTTGTATCTATGATGAGTTTAATTGTTGTTTACTTATTTTTTTTGTATTTTCAAAATATCAGAAAAATATGTTATTAAAATGCAACTCTTTTCAAATATTTCCCTAGAAACGAGATGATATTTCATATTATCCATATAAGATAGGCAGAGATCCCTTAATGTTAAATTATATATTTATAAGTTGATAACGAGAATAATTAGAATTAGCAAAGAAACAAATTCCAAGTTTTGATTATGTTTTATCCTTGTAATAATCAACTCTTTATGTTTCTCAATGATATACATGTAGTTAGTTGTCAGATAATTATGAGTATGAAGAGCATTTGGGCATCCAACTTTTACAGCATTCGAGCAAACGCATTTTAAGTATTCGAGCACAAGATTATTTAAGTATTCGAGCACAAGATTATTTAAGTATTCGAGCAAACGCATTTTAAGTATTCGAGCACAAGTTTATTTAAGTATTCGAGCACAAGTTTATTTAAGTATTCGAGCACAAGATTATTTAAGTATTCGAGCACAAGATTATTTAAGTATTCAAGTAACTGAGTTGTACAACAATTCATCAACCAAATTTTACCGACATGAAATGAAACATATTACACGTTGTCAATTTGGAATCGATCAATTAGAAAATAACAAAATGTTACAAAAAAGTATGATCAAATGAATCAAGTAGTTTATGTAGAATATATATATAGTAATTATGAAAAATAATAAAAAAGGTAGGAACATTTCTTAAACTCATACAAAGTTTTTGGTATTTTTTTGAAATTTCAGATTTGATTGAACGCAGATTTTGATGATTAGTATAATATTAATTTATGCAAACTGTGCTACGTCAAATGTCTTCATGTATTATTAATCTTCGCATTCAGTTGTAACGACATTTATCTGTAAGGAGCCATTACAGTTTCTCACTTGCTCTTCATACTTAGTGTATTTACATTTGTGTATCCCTTAACACTTTACAGTAGTTGTTATCTACATATTTAGAAGCTAGTCAGAGTTTAGGTTGTAATTGAAAACAGTACAATTAAAGACATTTCTAGAAAATCATTTCCGGAATCAGAAATCTCAGTTAGAATCGAAAGGGAGATATTTGACTATTTGGGAATTTGACTTGTTTGTGGTAAAGCAGAGCAACACGAAAACTAAAATGAAAATTAATCATTCTTTTGAAAAAGTGCTAAACACTTATACTACTTCCAAATTAGTTAACTTATAATTTTAGAGTAATATTCGGAAATGAGTTTCGGGAAAGGGCTACACCGTACAATGGATAAATAACCGTAACCAATCAAATTTTGTTTTAAATGCACACATGCGCAATTATAAATGCATTGAATTTCATTACATATTCTTCTTCTCTGACAGAAATTGGAAAATGTTATTAAAAATAAATGTACAGGTTTTCCTCAAGAAACAACAAAATAAGATTTTCTTATGGTAATTTAATTTATGCTATGATTTGTTTCCTTATATATCAATAAACAAATTGTTTGTTTATTTTCAGTTCGCATTATCTTATATATATATATATATATGTCATATTTGTTTTTCTTGAGAAAATACCTTTTTATTAAACGATGGGGTAAATGAACATTATGTTCTACAATTGTATATTTGTGTATCACTGTAAGTTAGTCTTTTTTGAAAACCATAACGAGAAACGCAATAAATGACTATTGTTGATTTTTTATATAAATTATATGTGTTTATTCATTTTAGTCAAATTAATTAACGTGTTGGTCCTAAATTGCAACTCCCTCCGACTAAGTTGGCCTTTGTTATTTTACCAGTTCTTTTTAAGCCATTTTGGTTTTGATTCCCAATCTTTTGGTCTCAATAGTGTACAAATGAAGGTTGTTTCAACAACACGTGTCGAATGTACTTAAATAGTATCAAATATTCCGTTACTCAGATGATCAACAACGATTAATTGATTAAAGGTAACAGTAAGTAGTCTACCGATGTTCAAAGCTCATAAATACATGTTTGTTTTTTCTACATTGGCTAGAGGTATAGGGGGAGGGTTGAGATCTCACAAAATATGTTTAACCCCACCGCATTTTTGCCCCTGTCCCAAGTCAGGAGCCTCTGGTCTTTGTTAGTCTTGAATGTTTTTTTAATTTTAGTTCATTTATATGTTTCGGAGTTTAATGTGACGTCCATTTTCACTGAACTAGTACATATTTTTGTTTAGGGGCCAGCTGAAGCCCGCCTCCGGGTGCGGAATTTTCTCACTGTTGAAGACCCATTGGTGGCATTGGGCTGTTTTTTTTATTTGGATGGGTTGTTTTCTCTTTGACACATTCCCCATTTCCATTTTCAATTTTATTATAAAGAAGATACAAATCAAGATGAAAAAACAAAACCGAGGTTATCGCATGAACTCCAAAAGGAAAGAAACCGGGTGCATTGACAGGGTAAGCATCTCCTCCAGAAAAATGATACATACGGTAACCTCAATACTCTACTTTATAAAGATAATAGAAATTGCAAAAAGAACTAGACGATAAAACAGATAATACCAACCAATAAGTATCGACTCCTCTGAGAAATTAGACTTACAAACAAAGAAAACAAAAACAAACGGAATACACATGGTCAAGATAGCCTCTTTCAGAGAAAAATCGTTCGATAATCAATGAATCATACTTTTTATACGACCGCAAAAAAATTTTTGTGGTCGTATATTGGTATGACGTTGGCGTCGTCGTCGTCGTTGTCGTCGTCGTCCTGCGTCGTCCGAAGACACATTGGTTTTCGCACTCTAACTTTAGTTTAAGTGAATGGATCTCTATGAAATTTTACCACAAGGTTCAATACCACAAAAGGAAGGTTGGGATTGATTTTGGGGGTTATGGTACCAACAGTAAAGGAATTAGGGGCCAAAAAGGGGCAAAAAATAAGCATTTTTGTAACTTCCAGACATAACTTGTGTGTTAGTGTATGGATCTCTCTGACATTGTACCACAAGGTTCCATATCACAAAAGGAATGCTGGGATTGATTTTGGGGGTAATTGCCTCAAAATTTTAGGAATTAGGGGCCAAAAAAGGGGCAAAAAACAAGCATTTTTCTATTTTCATGACAATAACTTGTGTGTAAGTGTATGGATCTTTCTGAAATTGTACTACAAGGTTCCATATCACAAAGGGAAAGCTGGAATTGAGTTTGGGGGTAATTGCTGAAACGTTTAGGAATTGGGGGCCAAAAAGGGGCCAAAAATAAGCATTTTTCTAGTTTCCAGACAATAACTTGTGTTCAAGTGTATGGATCTCTCTGAAATTGTACTGCAAGGTACCATACCACAAAATGAAGGCTGGGATTGATGATGGAGGTAATTGCCTCAATATTTTAGGAATTAGGGGCCAAAAAGGGGCAAAAAACAAGCATTTTTCTAGTTTCAGGACAATAACTTGTGTGTAAGTGTATGGATCTTTCTGAAATTGTACTACAATGTTCCATATCACAAAGGGAAAGATGGGTTTGAGTTTGGGGGTAATTGCCCTAAACGTTTAGGAATTTGGGGCCAAAAAGGGGCCAAAAAACACATTTTCCTAGTTTCCAGACAATAACTTGTGTTCAAGTGTATGGATCTCTCTGAAATTGTACTACAAGGTACCATACCACAAAGGGAAGGCTGGAATTGAGTTTGGGGGTGATGAATCATAAGGGGGTTCAAAAAATTTGGGGGGGGGATTTTTTTTTTTTTATTTTTATTTTCTTTTAAAATTTTCCATTTTAAGTTGGTTATTTCTGATTTATATTTAAAAGCAATTAATAATGATATGGTAGGAGATACACACCTAACAGGATGTGTAAATTATTATATAATAAGTATTGTGCAATAGCAAGAAATTTTCAATTGCACAGTATTGCACAATAGCAAGAAATCTTCAATTGCACAGTATTGCGCAATAGCAAGAAATCTTCAATTGCACAGTATTGCGGAATAGCAAGAAATATCCAATAGCACAATATTGCGCAATAGCAAGAAATTGTCAATTGTACAGTATTGCGCAATAGCAAGAAATATTTAATGCACAGTACCCTTGTGCAAAAGAAGATACTTAGTATAAATTGCTTATTTCTTGACCAATTTCAATGGGGTTTTATTCTTGAATTCTTGGGGTTCTTTAATATGCTGAATCTAACCGTGTATTTAGTTTTTTGATTTGGGTTCCGTTTTTAAATTGGTCCACAATGAGGTCCAAAGGGTCCAAAATTAAACTTTGTTTGATTTCATCAAAAATTGAATTATTGGGGTTTTTTGATATGCCGAATCTAACCGTGTATTTAGATTCTTAATTTTTGGTTCCGTTTTCAAATTGGTCTACATTAAGGTCCTAAGGGTCCAAAATTAAACTTAGTTTGATTTTAACAAAAATTGAATTCTTAGGGTTCTTTGATATGCTGAATCTGAACATGTATTTAGATTTTTTATTATGGGCCCAGTTTTCAAGTTGGTCCAAATCGGGGTCCAAAATTAAACTTTGTTTGATTTCAACAAAAATTGAATATATGGGGTTCTTTGATATGCTGAATCTAACCATGTATTTAGATTTTTGATTTTTGGGCCCCGTTATCAACTTTGTCCACATTGAGGTCAAAAGGGTCCAAAATTAAACTTTGTTTGATTTCATCAAAAATTGAATTCTTGGGGTTCTTTGATATGCTGAATCTAACCATGTATTTAGATTTTGGATATTGGACCATAATAGGTGAATGTCCAATTTAAAACTTTTAAGTTCTTAGACCACATTCATTCTGTGTTAGAAACCTATGCTGTGTCAAATATTTAATCACAATCCAAATGCAAAGCTGTATCAAGCTTGAATGTTGTGTCCATACTTGCCCCAACTGTTCAGGGTTCGACCTCTGCGGTCGTATCAAGCTGCGCCCTGCGGAGCATTTTATTTAATTCGCATTTATTTTATTTTCTCCGGTATGATTACTGTGAATTGTAATTGGAATTTGGTGCGACTGTCATACAAGTGAGATGTTTAGCTAGCTATAAAACCAGGTTCAATCCACCATTTTCTACATAAGAATATGCCTGTACCAAGTCAGAAATATGACAGTTGTTATCCTTTCGTTTGATGTGTTTGAGCTTTTGATATTTCCATTTGATTAGGGACTTTCCTTTTTGAATTTTCCTCGGAGTTCAGTATTTGTGTGATTTTACAATTTTTTGTATAGCATACCTTTTACATTTTTCAAGACAAGATACTTACAACTTGACAAACTTAATGGCCATTCTTATATTGGTTTTGATGACCCAGTTAATTTCCATTTTGGAATTATATTTTCTTAAATTTTGAAGGACCACTTTGTGATATAGTTTTGATGGCCCATGTTGTTATGCTGACCTTTTTGATGGCGTAGCTATAAATAACTGCATCCTCATTAATGGTTTATAGTTGTCGTATCTCCTTCAATGTGTATAACAAAAACCTCTTCTTACGAAATTATAATAAAGTTAAAGTTGTCAACGTCCTTATTCACAAGTGTCCTTGATCTGAGGTTTTATGCATATGCCTTGTACATTTTTAGGTGTCGATGTTACCTGATGCTGTAATTACCAAAATAAGTGTCACCAAAACTGGAACATTTATAACAGAAGTCTTAGAAAAGAGGAGATAGAAGGCAACAAGAGGGCCTGTAAGGGAAAAGATCTGGGAAAAAAAGACAACACCAAACGACTAAACGACAAACAGCAGATAACGAAACACTACACTGAAAATTAAGGATTGAAATACACCAACCCCACTAAAACCGGGACGGGGGAAGTCTGGTGATCCGGAAAATTGCTGTTCCACTAGTGTTTCCGCCGTGTTACTCCTGTTTAATTCGTAAATGAGCTCTGTCCAGTGATTATGGGCATCATAAAAAAAGTGTATTGGTAAATGGAAGACATCACCAAATTCATAGGCAATCGGTACATGTAAAAACAAACTCGCCCGATGTCAAAAGATTGAAAAGCAAAAATGTTTCAAGAACAAACACCATACATGAATGTTACTGGAACGGACAACACATGTATTGTAAAATGAAATAGCCTAAAATGTTACACCGAAAACTAAAGCAAAAGAAACACAAAGCTCTGAACTCAGTTTCTCCGGGAGGGTAAGCATTTCTTGCTTCACCATTGACACGTAATGTGTTAAGTATGAGAAGTAATGGGCATATAGATTTTAACTAGATTCGTATTAACACCTGCAGTCGTAAACATGAAGTTAATATCGACTGATCCTACTGCTACTATCCATTGCAACATTTGGTCAATGTAACATGGTAAATGTATTAGGCAAAGTTGATCTTAGAACTTTGGCTGCTCTGCTTAGGACCTTATGGTTTTAAAGCTTCCCTAACGTTATATATTTTTGGCGCTTCAGATTGTACCGTACCTTATGAAGGTTTTAGCAGAACCATGTACTGTGCGCAAGAAAGTCATACGTGTCAAGCCATGTATTGAAGATGTATTGATGAGGACAATTATTTGTATGAGCATAAATAATCTCACAAAGCACTGTAAGAGTATTTTTTAACCATTATAATCAGATTACATAAAATATATAAAGTATTATTTTCATTCTTTATAGCACTAGACCAATACCGCTGCTGGTGGACTATCTTTCCCCATGCGTAACATCAGCTCAGTATTCAGTTCTTCAGTACTGACATGATTTATAACACACATTTCATTAATTGTC